AACTTTTTTATTAACTTTATGGTTAACTTATTGACACTTTCCTCGCTCTGACTCAGGCTCTTCTTTTAAAGATAAACGTGCACCGTCTGCTACACATGCATTAATATCTCTACATCCACTGGATTAAAATGGAGGCGCTGTCTTTTATTTACCTGTTGCCATGGTGAATCGTGGAGTCGGAGCTCCATTGATGATGGCTTTTTATTGTTGGCTTAACTCAGAGTGAACATACTCAGAGCTGACTGAACTAACTCAAATCAGCTGTTCTGGAACCAGTAACTCAGAGTTTCCCATCTCAGGGTAAATCAACTCAGAGTTCAGGGTTAGACTCAGAGTTTGTTGAACCTCCTACCTGGAATACCCCTCTGGGCACTACCGAGGTGCCCTTGAGCAGGCGCCTCACTCTGACATCTCTCCACTTTGTGCATGTATAGGTCCTGTTTGTGCACGTGTGTGTCTTTCAAACCTGTGTGTAATTAACAAGCAAGAGTGAAAACACTGAATTTCCCCTCAGGGGGATTAATAAAGTAAATAAACAAACACAGCCACAGACTGTACACATGTTGGCACCTTGTTCAGGTCTCTGTCCATCTGTGTCCGTCCTCCTTTTCCTCTGCAGCTGTGACGTCGGCAGAGGGCAGCCAAGATGGCGGCCCCATGGTTGGAACATGGCGGGATATCAGTACGATGGACCTGGGCCCTCTGCAGGCCGTGGACAGCGCCGTCTCCTTCTACAACAACATGTCAAATGACATCTTCCTCTTCAAACCCCTCAGCATCACCAGAGCACAGATGAAGGTACGACACAGGAAACGCATCATTTCTGTGGGGTCAAAGGTCAAAGGCGGGTCAACCTAAAATACTCTTACATGATGTCACAGGCTGAATCTGACACGAGGAGATGTGAAGGATTTACAGGAGACAAAAATACTGTATTTCAGGTCGTTGAGGGAGCTCTGTACGCCGTGGATTTGGACATGACCCGAACCGTCTGCCGTAAACGAGACAACAACAGAGATCTGTCCAACTGTGACGTTCAGCCTGAAGGTGACGACCTGCACCAGGTGACTCAGCAGGATGGATGGGGACAGTTTGACTCTTTGCTTCTCAGTTAGATGACATCACGTGCTGGACTACTTCCTGGAGTCTTGTTAAACCACAACACGTCTGTGACGCTGTGTTCAGAGGGTTTGTGGTTAAAATTCTACTTCCTGTTGTGTCTTTCAGACGTTTCAGTGTCACACGGAGGTCTGGGTGATTCCCTGGGAGAACAAGACCATGGTCAGACAATTCACCTGTTCATCCTGAAACCACGGGCTGCGTCCCACCTTCATCCTCCATCATCCTCACCTGCTGCTCTCTGCCTCCGCTCACCTGTCAAACTCAACTCTGCACTGAAAAATAAAACCAACATTTTTAACTGAACTTTTCCTGCAGATTTATTTCCTGTACAGAAACACTCAGTGATGCAGTGAAGAAGAAACTGTGTCCTCTTTAATCTGTGGTTGTGTTGAGTGCAGACGCCACCTGCTGGTCACAATCATGAACAGCAGCCACGTGTCTGGTGTGTTCAAACTGTCACAGAAATGTTTATTAGGAAAGAGCTAACAGCTCATAACATCTGAGATCATCGCAAGAACTTTGACTTTAACCTGCAGATGAACTGTGACGTCACTGAGGTAAAGAGGAAAACAAACAGGTGTTACAAAGGTTAAAGAAATATTTAGAGAACAAATGAACAGATTTCATGATTCATTTGTTTTTATTGAAAGGAAGCTGAAAAGCTGCAGAACAGGTTCAAACACAACTGAAGGAAAAGAGTTGACAGAGAGAAATCAGTCCGTCGTCAGCGACGAGCCAGGAAGCTAAAAATACACATCAAAACTACTGTGAAAGAAACGTGTTTCTGCCGTCACGTTTTAAATGTTTAAAACAGAGTTAAACATCTTCGTGCAAATAAAGATCCTGGTCACAGATTTAAATTTGAACATTTGGCACCTCATTTCAAAAACAATGAAAATGTCAAAACAACAAACACGATCAGAAAAATTCGTTTCTCAAAGTAAAGCAGCTGAATCATCAGTGAGCTCTGCTAGCTGTGTTAGCTAACGCTAGCAGCCAGAAACAAACAGCTATGATTTATTGTCCGTTAACTGTCCGATAATTTAAACAGAGGACACGTTATCCCGCCGTGGTCCTTTTAAAATGAGCAGTGGTTGAATTGGGGGTTGATACACAGATGCTAGCTAGTGCTAGCACTGCTAGCTAGTTGAAATGTTGACTCTTCCCACTGCTGTTAAGTGATTGGCTGAATTAAAAACTGGTAAGGTTTTGACTGACAGGAGACTGTGACTGACAGATACCCCGTCTTCTCGGGCTTGCGCATGTGCATGTCTCATACAGTGGCTCTGAAACTCTGCAGGGGGACGATGTTGGTAAAGTCGTGTTGGGCGTGATGACGTTCTGTAGTCTCATTTAGACACCGGTTAAAAACACATTAAGCTGTAAACTGACAGTGGGGTCTCAGCTGGTGTTAACCACAGTCCTTATTTCACACATCTCCAAAAACACACTGACTTTGAGACAAGGAAACAGGAAGTGCTAACATGCTAACTCATTCCTGCAGGGCTCTATCACCATGCTAACTTTCCAACATGCTAAAATTTATACATAACACCTTCTGACTTGTGATTAGCTTTTACACCCAAGTTGTTTTTACAACTCAGAATCTATCTTTGACTTGGTGTTCATTAATAAAGAAATTTCAGGAAAACCGAACAAACATGGGCGCTTTACGTCAACCAAAAGTGTCATTCAAAGTAATAAAACTCAGGCTTAATATTTCTGTCGCTGCTTTACAAACAGTCGAGGGTGAACACACAGCATGATGTTATGACAGCCTGACAGTTTTTACTGTTTTTTTTATAATGATAAAATTATTTCTTTTACTACAGGCACAAACTTTGATGCTATCTGTTGGCTCAGGCTAGCTAACATACTACGGTGAGAAATGGCAGCTAGTAGCAGTAACAGTGCTATCCAAGCCAGTTAGCTCTGTAGGTTAGCGCAGACTGGGAGCCCAAAACATTAACAGGTAAACAAACACTGATGTTGGAAGTTCATCCTGTCTGCCTGCAGGTTTATGGCTAGGAGCAGCTAGTTAGCGCTACAATGACCAAGCTAGCAAGCTAACCTACTGGTGAATCAGCCAAATAGCTTGTGAGCGAGTTAATTAGCTTAAGCTATCTTTTTTTTTTGGCTGGTTGGTGTGGGAATTTTTCTTTTAACCAGGTGAGCGTTATTTTAGGGCCCGAAATTGTTTGCCGAACACAACCCGAGTTTCAGTGCTAATAGACCCTTTAACTGTTAGTAAACAGTGTGACGTTTTTTGATGGGCAGGGCTTAGATGGAGCCAGAGCAGTTCTCCACAGACATTAGCTAACGCTAGCACTAGCTAACAACTTCTGTTGTCTTGTTTTAGACGATGGAGGAAGGATGTGAGTGGTGCGTTCAGAAACACTCATTCTGAGTGTGGGAGCGCACTCTGACACAAACTGGAAGTGAACGTTAGCTAATGTGCTAAAGAGCTAATATTATGGGGAAATCCAATATTTGTTTTGCTATGGAAGCTAACGTTAGCTAATGTGCTAAAAAGTTAGCGTTATGGGGAAATCCAATATTTGTTTTGCTATGGAAGCTAACGTTAGCTAATGTGCTAAAAAGTTAGCGTTGCAGAGAAATCCAATCTTCCTCTTAATCCCTCCCCAGTTTCTGATGAGGTGGACATGATAACCCTTAATACACATAACCTTATTCATCCCTACAACAGGAAATACTTTTTCCCTAACCTGATATGAAGTGTGCGCTGCACATGTGAGCATTTTTGATGATGGCCTCCGTCCAGTCCTTTGGTCTTATCACATTTAACCA